AGAGAGAGAGAGAGAGAGAGAGAGAGAGAGAGAGAGAGAGAGAGAGAACACGAACACAACTTGGACATCGTGCCCCACCCTCCTACTGCACAGCCGGGATCCGGAGGCCCAGACAGGACCCGTGCTGACTGCATAGGCAACTCTAGAAAGCTGTTAGGTTCAGATTCAAGGACTTTGAAACACCAGGGGCCCAAGTCCTGTTGGTTACAGCTGTATGCTGATTTCACCCTTCTCAACATGTGGCTTCTCTTTTTATGGAGACAGGATCTCTCTCTGTTGTTCAGGCTGGGCTTGAGCTCCTGGGATCAAGTGATGCTCCTGCCTCGGCTTTCCAAGCAGCTGGTCACTTGACTGCCTGTCCATTTGTCCATTTTCTCATATGTAAAACAGAAGGGGAAGGGGTGGCAAGCAAGCAAACAAGCAGCCCCTAGAAAGCATAGCATTCTCTTTGAACCCGAGATCTAGGTCAAGACCAGGGCTCTGGACTCCATGCTCCCCTCTTCAGGCCTCACTGGGTCTGCTGTCTGGGAAGTAGGCATGTGGCCCTTGCCTGCCTCTGGTGTCTATGGGAGGCTCATTGTCTGCACCTGTCAAGGCCCCTTGCTGTGAGTGGTTGTGCTTGTCTTTGGTCTTTACCTCACGGCAGCTGAACCTTCTGGATGTGACTTGGTACTCTGAGCAGTCAGGCTTGTGACAGGTCTGGTCTTCAAAACTCACACGCCTGTCTGAATCTCAGCTTCCTGTTGACCGAGAATGGTATTTGCCTTCCAGGTCTGGGTGGCATTGGCTGGTTGGTTTGTTTTTTTTTTTTCATCCACTGTTGCAACATCCTCTGCTGCTTTTTGGGACTAGATTGTTGCCTCAGGCAGGCTCTTAAGGAATTTGGTTTTGGCACAGTCACTGTGTGGCCCCTCCCTGGTGGGCTCTGGCTTCTGAAGTCTGAGAAAGGCACTGGGCACCGACTGAGCCGTTTTGGTGTTGATATTGGCTCCTTGCTGGAGGCCCAGCCCTTTGGTCAATGTTGCTCTTACAGTGTAAGGCAAAGCAGGTTCTGTGCACTCCTGGAAAACAGTCCTCAGTCCTCCTCTACATTTACAGGAAAACATCTTTTTTTGAGGGAACTCAGGAAAAGGTGTCATACAGCCTGGGCACCGAAAGGCAGTGGTGACTTAGGTGGCTTTTGCCATGAGAGCTCGTGGTGGCTGAGAAAGTGCTGTGGTCACCTGACCCTCGATCTGCTGCCCCAAAGGCCCACCCTTCCTTTCTGCCTCTCCAAAGGAAAGGCAGAGAGGAAGAGAGAGGGGGACTGTAGCTACTTATCTCATGGATTTGGGGGAGGGTGTGGGGTGCTGGGTGGTGGTGTGTGTTCCAGACAGGGTTTCTCTGTGTAGCCCTGGCTGTCCTGGAACTCACTCTCTAGCGAGTCAGGTTGGCCTCCAACTCAGAGATCTGCGTCTGCCCCCCTAGTGCTGGGATTAAAGGCGTTTGACAACACGCCTCACCTCTAGAGGATTTTTAAGTTGTTCTGAACAAGCATTCAAAATTGAGTTGAGGGGGAAAGGATTCCCACTCCCACACACATCCTGCAGATCTGAGCTCCTGGGCTGGGTTCTGGAGGTTTCATGACCTTTAGTCTGAAAGGAACTTTGGTGAGGGAGGACCAGTCACCAGGAGCTTGCAGGCAGAGGTCCAGAACACCCTGCTGCTTTGCTCTTGGGGCTTTGCCTTAGCCTGCCCCTCTGCACCAGGACTGATAGCACTGCCAGAGGAGCATGATTGAGATGGTAACTGAGCTAACACAACTAAGAAGCGTCAGCTGAGGGGGAGCGGACTCTGTCCCCCATGAAGGAGGAGCTGTCCTCATCCCTGCATGGGGTTTGGGGCTCTTAGCAGCTTAGCTAGGAAGATCTCAGCTGAGAATGGACAGAAAAATGCTTGTTGGAGCCTTCCCATCATTTCCTTCTCGAAGGCTCCCTCCCCGGTTGGTGCCTTCTGGTACCATGCCCATCATAAGCAGCCACCTGCTCCCTCTCAGCAGGATAGGTGACACCTCTCCATCCAGATCTTAATTCCTGAGGCCAGGGAGAGGGCAGCTGAGTGCGTGGTCACCCTAACTGGGCCTTGCCCGAGGCACAGTGAAGTCATCTGGTTGTAAAGGCTTCTCAGGGCTGGGGATTGGATGGATCTGTAGAGTGTGGAACAGCGGTTCTCAACCTGTGGGCCATGACCCCTTTGGGGGGGTCAGTTTGACCCTTTCATAGGGATCATTCAAGACCATGGGAAAATACATATACTTAACTTATGATTCATTCCACCAGCAAAATTACAGTTATGAAGTATCAGTGATGTAATTTTATGGCTGGGGTCCCCAACACGAAGAACTGTATTAACAGGTGGCAGCGTTAGGAAGGTTGAGGACCACTGGTCTGTGGAATGTAGAGAATCTGCGAAGGTAGACGGCCCAGGTACAGATGAGGGGCATGTGTCTCCTCTCTCAACTTGGACTTGCTTCTTCTCAGTCTTGCAGCTGGCGAGTCTGAGCTGTGGGGTCGAGGGGCTTGATCCTGAGAGGGAACGAGTGTTATCACTCAGGGGCTGGAGATGCAAAGAAAGGACTGTCCTGGGTGGGGTGCGTACAATTGTCACGGAAGGTCAGAGTGGGTATGAGGCACCCCCAGGCAGGCACAGGTGGAGCACCCACTGCCCCTGTGCTCCGTGACAAGCAGCTGCTGGCTTCTAGGGCCCTGTCAAGACTGTGACCTCTGCCCCTGTGAGCACCGGGGTAGAGAGGCTGAAGGCTGTAGCAGCAGTTTGGGGGACACTGAGGGAGTTGTGAGTCTTGTGTCGTTTCTCGGGTCCCCCTGTGCGGTGGAGTGGTGGCATGCCTCCGCTGTTCACAGGCTTGTTTCTCTCTTTTTGGAATTTTGGCAAAACAGAGTAAATATCCTGTTCATCACACTAGCTTTCCCAGGGCCTACAGTTTTTTAATAAGTCAACAAGCCTTGGAGTCCTCACTATTTGTCTATGTTTCAAGGTTTTTATTTTATTTTATTTTATTATTTTGTGACACTGTCTCACAATGTAAGCCTGGCTGGCTTCAAATTCTCAGAGATCCTCCTGCCTCTGCATCCTGAGTACTGAGATAGATTCATGGCCTGTGTCACCATGCCTGACCCAAGGTTTTTTATTCGTTTGTTTTTAAATCATCTCCAACAAATTCTGAATCTGCTAAGTGGCCACCCCAACCCCCGCACTGCTCCTGGTAGACTTCGAGTCTCTGTCTCTGTCACTGATGGTCCGGTGGAATCACACAGTATTTAGGTTTGGGGCCTGGCTTATCTCACTTAGACCGGAGACCAGCGATTACAACGCTCATTTGTCACTGTTTCGGCATTTGGCACCGTTTCGGCATTTCAAGGTGTAACAATGGCCATTACGTATAGGTGCTAGCTTCTTTGGTGGCCTATAGGTGGATCCCACCCTTGGGCGTGGTAGATGGAGAGCAGCATGCACAAGCTAAAATCCATACGTTGGGCTCCTTTGGCTCTGTGGTGGGATTGAAGCTTCTGCGTTGGCCCCTGGAGAAGGGAACTCTGGTGGCCACCATCCAGTGCCCTGCCCCACTCCAGATCTCTCTCCTCCAAACCCTCACCTGCCCCTGTGAAGGCTGTCTCTTGGCCAAGTCATCCTGGCTGGTGAAAGTGTTCACTCTCTTTTTCATCAGATAAGCAGTATTCTGGGCTAGAGAGATGGCTCAGCAGTTAAGAGCACTGACTACTCTTCCAGAGGTCCTGAGTTTAATTCCCAGCAACCACATGGTGGCCCACAACCATCTGTAATGGGATCCAATGCCTTCTTCTGGTGTTTCTGAAGACAACTTCAGTGTACTCACATACATAAAAATAAAATAAAATAAAATAAAGTAAAATAAAATAAAATAAAATAAAATAAAATAGAAGCAGTGTTCTGGGCTGGAGAGATGGCTCAGAGGTTAAGAACACTAGAGGTCCCTGGTTCAATTCCCAGGACCCACATAGCAGCTCACAACTGTCTGTAACTCCTGTTCTGGAGGATCTGATAGCCTCACACAGATGTATATGCAAATGTAACATCAATACATATACAAGTAAATAAATCTTTAAAAAAGTGTTCTGCCCAGGTGACATGTGGCTAGTGGCAGTATTGTGGTGCATGTGCCTCCCCCAATACACACACACACACACACACACACACACACAGTGCTCATGAGTCCTCATTTCAGGCTTTTCCTGTCAGGAAGAATTTTCCTCAGAGTTTTTATTTATTTATTTTTCTTTTCGTGTTCATATTACAAATATTTTATTTTTACATTTGTGTGTGAGTATGCACTGGCCCAGTCTTGTATTTATGGTATGGTTATATCTTGCTTCCTTTTTAGAGACATAGAATGTTCTCCCTGGTCTGAGCTCCCCAGTGTTGACACCTCGTGTGCCCTGGCCATTGTTGGGAGTGTCTGTGTCCCATTGGACATCCGCCTCTGTTTTCACACTTGCATGGGGGCCTGGGAAGCTCTCCAGGGCTGTCTCCTGCCCAGCCTGCCTTGTAACCTTCTAAGTCTCTCCTTTGCAGGCCAAAAACAAGGAGACCGGTGCCCTGGCAGCAGCCAAAGTCATTGAGACTAAGAGTGAGGAGGAGCTGGAGGACTACATCGTGGAGATTGAGATCCTGGCCACCTGTGACCACCCATACATCGTCAAGCTCCTGGGAGCCTATTACTATGATGGGAAGCTCTGGGTAAGCCTGGGCCCAATGTCAGTCAGCATCTGCTGTGTGGGCCAGGGCTGCAGCAGGGGGAAGGTGAAGTGGGCTGCTCTGAGTCCCTGGCCTCCCTTCCCACCCCCACCCCCACTTCCCACACTCTGGCCAAGGCCGCAGAAACAGACGAGTGCTGGAGTGTCTAACCCAGAAAAGGCTAGGCCTGCCCGTAGCCATCCACGAGTGGAGGGATGTGTGTTCCTCATGGAGAAGTCTGGAACAGTCCGAGGGCCGTCGGTGCTCACAAGTTCCGATTTCAGATTGTCAGTTGGGAGGACTTAGGAGCTTCCCCTGCTAAAACCAGGGCAGGTCTGACATCCTCTCGAGCCTGAACATGGCACCCCATGAGGAATTCTTGCCTTGTGGTGCCTTGGACATGGAATACTCCAAGGTCAAGTGAGTGGATTCTGGGTGGATGCCCAGAGGCCTGGCATAGACAGGGCACCTGAGTGTCGATCTGGTGTCATTTAAGGAGTTACAGACCTCCTGCTTCCCACTGTGAGCCTTTGGCTCCTGTAAGGGCTATGGGACCTCACTGGCTTCGTGGGCTGAGGCTGCCCTACAGATAGTCCTGTCACCAGCCTGTCTCATGCTAATACCTCTCAGCTGGCAAAACTCAGATGCCCAAGAGTGAGCATGCTGAACTTGTGTTCTGCCAACTTTTCCTCTCTCTCTCTCTCTCTCTCTCTCTCTCTCTCTCTCTCTCTCTCTCTCTCTCACACACACACACACACACACACACACACGTAAATAATCCCCCTCCAAACTCTAGAGACCAAGGAAGCAAAGTGATGTGTGGGCAAGAAATATCTCAAGTAAATTCTGGGTACAGCTGGCACTGTCAAAATCCTGCAGACATTTGGAGACGTGGCTGAGGGCCCTCAGGCACCAGGCACCTACCTCCGCCATCACTGGGACTATGTGAGCCCAGGTCTTGCCACTGTCGGTGGGAAAGGTGGTTCAGAAGTGTACATTGATCGGAAAGGGTGTTTTAGGCATGGTGCACACTGCTGCGGTGGTTTGCTGTGTTTGGAGGGCATTCCATGGTCTAGTTAGGTCTCAGAACACTGGGAACTTGCTATTGGCTGGTGGTGGTTTGTCATTTTTCATGCCCAGTGGGAAGCAAGAGTCTTGGCTTTTAGTGACAGAATGCCTGACTTCCTGGTGCTAACTGGAGAAACCTGGTTCATTGGAGAAAGAGGTCCTGCTGCTTAGGAAGAAGGAAAAGTCCACAAGACCCATGACTTCTCATATCTCAGGCAGGAATGGAGCCAGCAAGAGGAAGTCTGGCCAAGGGACAGGGAAGGGAGTCAGCCTCTCAGCTGGTGTTAGACTAGTGCCCATAGCTAGGGGATGCCTGAGGAGAGACTTTTTGAACACAGACATTTAGTTGGCACATAGCTTTGGGGGTTCAGGGTGGTAGTGCCAGGGTTGGCCTGGCCCACTGCATGGACTGTGTCAGTTGGAATTCAGAGGGCTTTGTTGAAGAAAATCACATGGTGATACTGGCAGCCAGAGAGCGCCTCAGGTCCCAGAAAGGACCTTGTTACTCATTAGTCCCTTCCGCAGGCATGTCTCTGGTGACTTCATGACTAGTCTCCACTCTCTGCTGACATCACTACAATAGGGACCAGGCTTCCAGTGCTTGAACTTGGGGGACACACACAGGTCATGTTAGCTCCCACTACCCAGGGTTCTGTGCCCTGTCACTTGCTACTCTCTAGTCCTGTCATATGTTCCCTGTCACTCGCTCCCCCATCACACTCACATACAGATTGGAGAGCGGAGACTCTGAAATCTCTCAGATTGTCCTCTGACCTCCACAGGCGCACGTGCAAAGACACAGAGACACACGTAATAATAATAATGATAACAACAACAACAACAACACTTGTTTTTAAGCAGCTAGAGAAAGAAAAAATGAGGCTGAGGTCACTGGGTAGTTATTAGAGAAAAGCACAAGATGAAAACTCCTTGAGGTTGTTGTCAGAGGACCACTGCTGACATTCAAAGTGTGCTTTCTAGATGTTGCAGACACAGTTTTAAAATAAGCTAGCGTACCATCCCTGCCTCTGTGTCTTTGCCGTCTTAGCTGAGGCGTGGTGATGGTTTCGTCCCATGTGAGGACAGCCGTAGCGTCCTCTGTATCCGGAAGAGCTGCACCCTCCAGTGCAGGGTGGTTGCTGCCCTGCGGCTCTGGGAAGACATCACAGTGCTTGTTCCTTTTTGCTTGGAAATCTCTGAGAATTTTGTAGATTTTTTTTTTAAATATCTGTTTGCAAACAGGCATCCCAGAGCCACTTCCCACGGGAGCTGAGGTCCACTGGCTACTCATCTGCTTACCATCATTTCAGCAGTCTGTCCTCCTGCCCCCTGTCCACCATCACTGCGCCTCCCCCTCCCCCTCCCCACCATCACTGTGCCTGCCCCTCCCCATCACTGCATCTGCCCCTCCTTCTCCCCCCCATCACTGCATCCATCCCTCCCCTCCTCTCATCACTGTGTACACCCCTCCCCTTTCCACCATTTATCTACACACGCAAACATCAGGTAGGGAATTACAACAAACTAGGGAAATCTCTCCTCTAGGCCTCAGATGCTGTCTGACAACATTCTTAGCTTTGGGTTCATGAAAGCTGGGGCCCTGTTTGTATGTTCTAAAAGGATTTGCTTAGTAGTAGTCGCAGGATATTAGATCACACACCCAGGGCTGGCAATGAATGGCTTTTTAAGAAGGCCAAGATGGCCTAAGATAATCTGGCTCTGGAGCCGCAACATTCAAACTCCCCCATTCATTGACATTCCAGTCAGTTGGTTGGCTTTTGCTGACTGCTCAGTTGTAGGTGGGACTTCCATTGAGAACTTCAGTTCATAGGTCGTAGCCGTGCTTGGACTGGGGCAGCCCCTGGGGAGAGCTGGAGCCAGTGATGGGAGGCCATCTTGTACAAGGCCTGGATCCCAAAGTGAAGACTCTGTAAGCTGCCCTTACAGAGGTCAGCAACCCCTCACCTTCTGGGATCAGCGTATCAGTGATGGCCCCACCTGGCCCTCCCAGGTCATAAGCTGGGGTGCTGCCCAGCAGCCTGTAGCTTTGAGAGCCTTCTAGGTGAGTCATGGTGGTGTCAGTTTGAAAACATCTATTTTAGACCTTGGCAACCCAGTTACATTTTGCTCAGGGGAAGTACATTCTGTGTTGTAAAAAAAAAAAAAGGAGGGGGGGAGACTGGAGAGATGGCTCAGCGGTTAAGAACACTGACTGCTCTTCCAGAGGTCCTGAGTTCAATTCCCTGAAACCACATGGTGGCTCACAACCATCTGTAATGAGATCTGATGCCTCTTCTGCTGTGTCTGAAGACAGCTACAGTGTACTCATATACATAAAATAAATAAATAAATATTTAAAAAAAAGAGAGAGAGAGGTCAGGTTTGGGGGCAAGAGGTAAAGCACCGAGTCTGGTCAATTCAGGGTAGACCCTGCCCAAAGCCTGGGGGTGTGGTATGTAACATGGGCCAGCTTCAGGGGAAGGGCCATTTGAACTGTGTGTTGCAGGATGCATAGGAGTTGGAAACGTTGCTATGTTAGGCTAAGCGCAGGCTATGTGGAAGTGGAGAGCCATGGGCTGCTGAGATTGAAGACTAGAGGCTACACTGGCTGTTTTCTGTGGGGTAGCTCGAGGTCCAGGCTTCCTGTGTGGTCTCAGGAGCTAGCCTTTCCCATGTAGCTGTGTCACATAACTAGTCAGGGCTGCTCGTTAGGGATAGGTGTTAAGGAGCTGGCTGCTAGCCAAGCACCTGCTGCATCCCAAACAAGCGGGAGGGACCTTCCTCCCTCAACCTGCCGTCCTACAAAGTGAGGTCACTTTTTCCCAGAATTGACAATCCTAGCAAAATTTTTCCAGAGGATTCCTGTTACACTTCTACTTTCAAATATTAAATGGTGCAGGTGGTGGGGAAGTCCCCTCTCCTCATGCCTTGGAGGGCCACAGACCCGTGAGAGCCGTGGACACTCCATTCCTGGTGGTTCTGTTAGCTGTTTGAGGGGCTAAAGGGCAGGTGGGGCTGGGGCACCCTAATTAGATAAGAGTGTGTTTGACCTGGTGTGTAAGAGGTCATTTTGACACATGATCAAAATAGAAGTTATTATAGAGATGTTTTTACTTTTTTATTCTGCCTTTACAAATCCCCTGTGTGTCCTGTCTTTTTTTTTTTTTTTTTTTTTTTTTTGATTTTTTGAGACAGGGTTTCTCTGTGTAGCCCGGCTGTCCTGGAACTCACTCTGTAGACCAGGCTGGCCTCGAACTCAGAAATCCACCTGCCTCTGCCTCCCAAGTGCTGGGATTAAAGGTGTGCACCACCACCGCCCAGCTACAGCACAGTTTTTAAAACATAAAAACATCTGAATTTTCATTGGAAGCTGTTTATCTAGTCTTACGTTACAAAAATCCCATAAGATTCACATCCCCAAGTGTCCTTCTATTCTCCAGTGGCCGAGCTGAGTGGATTTGAGCATTTAGCTTAGCTCGGAGTACAATGGCTGACGGTCAGTTTCCTTCCTGAGTGGTCTCTCTGGTCTTCCCAGTCATCTACCCTTGGTCTTGTTGATTGTCCCAGCTCACTTCACCCCTAACCCAGATAGCAGTCTCTGTGGAACTGGGCCTCTCTTCCAACATGCCCAGAACACTGAGAGGGAAGCTGTGTTCTAGAATGCTCACAGATGCTCTCAGTGGGGGAAGACTGGCTTCTAACTAATGCCCATTTCTGTTGTGTAAATATTCCCACTACAGGTTAGCATGGGGACCACGCTGTGTCGCTAATGCAATCTGGCAGGTCCCTGGTCTCTCCCTGAGCTCAGAGTCTGTGAGCGGAAGCACACTCCAAACACAGACGTGTGTGGGAAGACCAGAGCAAGTGGGAAGCGAGCTTTAGCAAATCTAGCGGAGAAGTGCTGCAGTCAGCCCTTCTGGGGTGTGGTCAGGAGC